ATATATATATATATATGTATATATATATATATATATATATATATATATATATATATATATATATATATATATATATATATATATATATATATATATATATATATATATATATATATATATATAGTTTTTTAAATGTTTGAAATACCCAACTTTTAAGCAAAAAGAATATTCAAAATTTTTTTACGTGTATGTATGTATAGTCACGGATAAAATTAAGTAAAATTGTTGTTAAAATCGAAACTCAAACATTAAAAACAAAATTATTTAAGAAGCGGAGGCATAACCGCATATAAAAGCACAACCGTTTTTTAACATTTTCCTTATTAGAAATATTATCTAATATGGCAAAAAACATACCACGCGTTAGTAAAACAGTTTCCTTCATTTCGCTTATGTCAAAATGAGTGCCTGTTACGTTTCTGAGAAGTTATGCATAATAATGTATATTTTGATATCATAATAATCATATTTTTTAAGACCTTTCTTTTGAGAATTAAGCAATATTTAATTTTAGTGTTAAATGATGTGTTATCAGCGTTATTTCATCCAGTGAAAACCATTTTTGATATCAAGATAACCTAATAAGCAAGCTATGAAACTGTATTCTTTCTAAAAACTGCCTTCTGGGGTAGAACCGTATAGACGCACGGGAGGCACAACCGCATACTTTTGATTATTTATCAAAGTTAGGTGATTACGAATAACAATAATTACAATCGTCACACTTGAATGCGTTCATGTAAAAACTTGAAAAGAAATAGTTTTGTTTTGAGATGTTCGAAATTAGATTTCGTATTTTTTTATTTAATTTTATAAATGAATTTTTGATTAAAATATACAGCTTAGAGTATATCGAAAGAGAAAACTCATACTGTAAGTACAAAGAATGCCTACACAGTATACAAACGTGCAACTAAATCAGCAAATAATCTGAGCTGTAACAATTGTAAAGAAAATGTACCAAGAAAAGCGTACCCCCAACGATTTTTGTGAGGGTGCGCCTGTGCCTCACAATGGGGGCAAAACCGTTTTTTTCACTAAGTGTAATTTTTGTGTAATATTTTCAAAATCCGTTTAATTTTTTTTGCATCAAATTAAAAATTAATAATGTAGTTATTGAAATAAACTGTTAAAAAAACACTTTTTGTTTTTATTTTCATATAACATTAATGCAAACGTTACGGGAGCAGTAATGCCCCCACTTCCCTTACGTCAGAATCTACATAACTGCAATAACTTTATGTTTTTTTTTTTAATTTAATTCCAAAGAGAAAAATATATTTATAAATCTGTTTTACTCATTGCAAAACTCTTTTAAATGAAATTTGCTATCTTACAGTTTTTCTAAAATAAATGTGACAAAAGTAAGAAACATCTACGTTTTTATTATGCAATATGTTTTGTCAATAACTATTTATTAAAAAGGATTAATATTAAAAACAATTTGTTAAAGTTGTTAAAAACAAGCAATTTGCACAACAACTAAATTTTTTGGAATTTATTTTTAGGTAAAACTAATAACAGTAAAAGTTATTAGTAAAACTAATAACAATAATGGCTTATCATCAAAATTATTTATTGGACATCAGATCTTGAGTCTTTTGTGATCGAAAAATAGGGCCGAACCTACAAGCAATGTGCTGAAAAATATCAATTAAGTGGTGTTAAAAAGATATGTATAAAATACGAAACAACTGATTCTGTTAAATATCAGAAAAGACTTGGTTGCCCCACTAAGACTTTAGTGGGGCAACCAAGTCTTTAGTGAGAGCAACAAGTTGATAAAATATTTTTTGTACTATTTTCAACTAGACTAATATTCATCGATAAATTTTAAGTTTTATAGTATAATTTCTTAGTGTTCAAAAATTATAACAATATAAAATTTGCAACCCCCTCAAATTGAGGGGGGTTTAAACATTATATAGTCATAATTTTTGAACGCTAAAGTATTTTACTATGAAACTTAAAATTTATCGATGAATATTAGTCTAGTTAAAAATAGTACAAAAAATATTTTATCAACTTGTTGCTCTCACGTTTGGGGCAGACTAGGCAAAAATTTTGGGGCTATGTTGTTTCCAAGCTCCAATTATCGCAATTTTTTGCAAAGCATCCTTATTTGACATAAGTATAAATATATATATGTTTGGAGTTTGCTCCATGTCTGGAAGTTAGCTATCTCAAAAATCAAAAAATACTAGCGCCGGCCCTGATAATGACATAACAATTGTACTTTGAATAGCTTTCAAAAAATTTATGTAAATCAAAAGAATTGAATTTAGATTGTAAATTCTTTTTACAAATGAAATTCAGTTTCATTAATAACTTTAAAAACACGCAAAAAGGCACAACAGTTCCTCTAAAAAAAAGTAAAGTTATCATCTTTAAATGGTCGCCACAAAGCCTAGCCCTTAACTCCATTGAGAATTTATGAGCAACTTTAAAGTCTAAAATATCTACCTCAAAACGAACAAATATAAAAGAATATTATAAGGTACTTAGTGAAACTTGGAATTTAATTGGTGCTGACGTCACATCAAAGCTTGTAAAAGCATTCCAAGACGCTTTGAAGCAGTTGTAAAAGCAAAAGGTGGCACAACAAAATACTAAAATGAAAATTAGACATGATATTTTTACACTTGTAATAATATTTATTGACAAAAGATTATACTTCATAATAAAAACTTTCAAATATATAAGATAGCTAATTTCATAGGGGGTGGGGGAAAAAGTCAAAAGACTTTTTCGATCCCAGCTTCCAATTATCACAATTTTTTGCAAAGCTTCATTATTTGACATAAGTATAAACATACAAATGTTTGGAGTTTGCTGTATGTCTGGAGGTTAGCTATCTTAAACATTAAAAAATCCTGGATCCGTCACTGTTGTTTTGTTGTTGTTTTATACAACGTTTTACACTAATAATTTAACATGATTTTAAAATAAAACTTGCTCTATTATCAGTATTAATGGGGTATTATTTTAATATTACCAAACAAAAAGAACTACGTTGTTACTTTTTACGTAACAGCCCTTCGCAAAGTTGCTCTACGCGTACTACTGCACAATGTGTAACGCTTTATCACAAGGCTACTTCTTATGTATCAAGCAACTTTTGAAACATAATTGTCATATGCAACACCTGAAACATTAATAGTATTTTTTTTTTTATTAAGTATTGAATTAAAAACTTCAGTCTTCAACCAGTCACTGTTTGTATTTTTTTAAAGTATTGACAGCAAAAGAGATATTTACTTTTAAATTAACAGGATAGCAAATAAAAACTTTAAACCTTTTAAACCAAATACCATGAAAGTAAACTTCTTTAACACTTCCCTCACTTGTCTTAATTACATCCTCACCAGAGTATTTAGCATATTTTTGTAAATACATTTTGTTCAAAATTATTATTATTTTTTATTTTTTTATTTTTTTCATTTAATTTTTCAGTTTACATTTATTACATGTCGTATAGACTTGACGTCTAGAAGAAGATCATACTGATATTGTTGCCAAATCCATATAAAAATTTAAATATAAATATAATATAATACAAGTAGTTAAAATCAAAATAGCAATCTAAAATAGTTGAAATAACCTATTGGGTAAAAATTATATATCAAAAATATTTTAATATATTTTCCATTAAAAAAATAATATTCTTTAACTTATTTTTGAAAACTGGAAAAGAGATTGACAAATCAAAGTTGGGCTGAACTTTATTGCGAAGACAGCTATTATTTCGCAACTATATTATTTGCTTTAAGGGGCATATATCTTTAAAAACATTTAACAATGGGTTATTCATACAACAAAACGTAAAACATAAGGTATTATAAATGTTAAGTTCATAAACATATAAAACATTCATATCTTTAAATTGAGGTTTCGTATTTGAAAAACGATTTGAAAAATATATTACGCGCATTGCATGTTTATTATAATTATAAGATTATTTGATTCATTTTTCATAGATCAACATTCTCACAAATCATAGAATTTAACCTGATTCACCAGCCACTGAAAAAAAGATTTTTTCACTTAGTTAAAGAATCTTTCATTGTCTAGAAAGATTCTTTAACTAAGTGACTTTTTTGGTACGGAAATCACTGGAGGAGAGGTAGTTTTTATGGTGGCTGGGTATATTGTAGGAACAGGGTTCTGGTTACGAATCAAACAGTATCATTTTACTGATGTTCTTTTAAGTATTATACTTTTTAGTTATGTTTTAAACAAATATCACTCCAGAAAACTATAATTAATAAAAGAGATACAACGAATAACACTAACATTAAACCAATAACAAGTATTAACCATTACTTTTTTTCTAATCCAAAAAGAGGCCACAATTAAAATTTAAAAACTTTGATTTCAGAAATTTAACTAAAGCTGTGCTAGATTTTATCCTGTGCTAACTTATCAAAATATTAAGTTTTTGCACTGTTTTTATTAACTATTTATAAATTAACTCTGATTTTTTGTAAGCCAAGTTTTAATAAATAGGGGTCGTCCATAAATTAGGTCACATAAATAGGGGTCGTCCATAAATTAGGTCACATAAATAGGGGTCGTCCATAAATTAGGTCACATAAATAGGGGTCGTCCATAAATTAGGTCACGCAATTTTTAACCGTTTTTGACACTTCTTCCCACCACCACTCGTCATAACATCGTAGTTCTTTAGTAACAAGACTCGTATGAGTCGTCACAAAACCACTTGCCCCTCCCCTCCCCTAGAGCGTGACATAATTTATTGACGATTCCTCAGACTCATACCCAGTTAAAAATATTTTACATAAAGAAAGACATTCGTTGATTAGTTGATTGGTGAAAAAAAAGTGTGTTGCAATCTTTCGTTTAAAAGTTTAAAAAACAATTGCATATTATTTTTAAGTAAATTTAAAAATAATATACAATTGGTAATTTTAATTTAAGATTATCAGTCAAGTTAATAAAAAATGAATGTTTTGTGTTTAAATTAATTTTTTTAATATTAGGTTGCGCTGGCATACTTGTTGGACACCCTTTAGACACTGTAAAGGTATAACTTATTTTTATAAAATTAATAAAATAATAATAATAGTTTTATATATATATATATATATATATATATATATATATATATATATATATATATATATATATATATATAATCAAGAAGGTATAATAGAATGGAGGGACAAAACGAAGCCGAAAATCATTTAAAATTGTCATACAGTCTTTATTGTATAATTATTCCAGTGGCAAGTCAAAATGGCGCCATTGCGTTAAAAAAGGAAAATTTTCAAATGTAGTTTGTAACCTTTGTAAGTTGTAATCAAATTGGATAACTCTCTTAAAATTTGAATGGATAAGTTTTTAACAACTGTTCTAACTATCAAGTAGTAATCACAACAAAAAATCATGATCTACGTAAAGTAATCGTTTTTTGATTACCTCGATAATAGGTATAAATATCAAAGTTTTGAGACAATCTCTACTACTTGGTTAAACATTATTTTTCCCTTTCCCGTTTAGCTATAGGTTTGTTACGATCTTAAAAAACGTTTTTTCGGCAAGGAATTTATTATTTCACTCCAGGATTTTATTTTGAATAGTAGTATTTTTGCTGGATTTAAAAACAAGTTGCTATTTCTAAATATAGAGATATAAAATACCTATCTTATAGATATAAATATCTATCTTATTTATTAATTCAATTCTAATCTAGAAATTTATTATTATTTGTTCAAACAGCACAACAAATAAAAAACTAAAAATAAACTTACTATAAATATTGTTTACAAACTTCCAGCTTTTATTTGCTTGAATTACTTTAATCTTTTACAATGCCTCAGTTGCTTATGAAGTATTGAAACAATATCATTAGATAATTTTTTTTTAAGAGTGGAATGTGATTGGTTAACTTTAAATTATAATAATTACGCGGTGTTCAATATAAAACTATGTTACAACTATGTTCCTTCAGAAATGACGTATTTTAATTTTGCTCTCTCTCTAGTCTATTATACCTCTATGATAATAATATACCTCGCCAAGACTGGAGTTAATAAATTAAGGACAAGTGCTTGTCCATTAAAACAAGTTTTACATGGTCATAACTTTTTAACATTAACGTTTTTGAAGAAACTTTACATGATGATAAATTTTTAACACTGTTTTTTTTTTGATACAATTTAAAATCTATTTCTAAGTATTTAAATATTTATTAAATTATAAATATAATATTTATCACTAAATATAAATTTTTTAATATAACTTTTACAAATATCAGTTTACATTATTACTACAGAAGTTTAAAAACAGCGCATAAAATTTTTTTGATAAATTGTTTGGAGACAAAATTGTTTGTTTTTACTCTATTCACTTTTTATACACTCTTTTTTTTTTTTTTTTTTGGACATTTAGTTTTGCCGTTAAATATATATTACGCGCTACATAAATTTACAACTAAAAATAATGTCCGGAGCAAGTAGAAGACATTTTTGTCTTATCGCCGAGCACCGTGTTACAGTATATATTTTTTACAAATTTTTTCCAAGAGCATTAAGTATAAATTAAGAAATAAGATGTTTGCAAAAATATTAACATTAAAATAAGATTGTGTCAATTAATAGATGCCATAAATAAATAAAACAAAAAACGAAAAAATAAAAAAATAAAAAATTTATTGCGTCATTTTTTAGTTTCGTGTTTCAGATTTATTGATCTATTTTAAAAGAAATACTTAAAAAAATAATCAAAATCTATGTGTAATAAACACCGCTTTGATTTAATCTTAAACTAATGAAGGGAAATATTCTCAGCAACAATGTGCGGAAAGTTTTTCCACAAAAATTCTGATATAAATGAAGCACTCAGATTTGAACAAATGAAGCATTCAGATTTGAATAAGATTTTAAAACAAAAAAATGTTTATGGAATATCTTGTAGCATATTTCTTAAAAATAAGTTTTTAAAATTTTTGAGACAGTACACATTTTATTTTATATTGTAAAACTAGATGAATGTTAAGTTTGAGAATATTTAAGGCACCAAGTGTACGTAAAAGAGGTTCACAAGGAAGAGTACGCTCTTCACCCTACGCCCCCCCCCCCCCCTCCATTCAGGACGCCTCTGGCTCTACCAACACTCTTTACGAGCAGTCAGCACAAGTGTTATAGGAGAATGTTATTGATTAGTTTTTTTTATATTTTTTATATATATTTTAAATAAAATTTGCCGGTGTAAGATTTTTAAAGGGATTATACATGAAAATTATGTCTTATCTTTTAAGTAGTCTATTAATAGTTATCTTGCTTTATAAACTTCATCTTTTTTCTTCCAGTAACTTCGAACCCTAATAGTGGTTGCTTGCAGCTTTGTTAGAAAAGAAGATGTAAAAAAAAAAAAAAAAGAATACTGCATTTCCTATTTTATATACAAATTAAAAATTTTATAAAAAAAAAAATAGTCATGAAAATTAGTAAACTTGAACGTGGTTTAAACCAATTGCTTTAATAATATCGAGAAGGGTTAGCAATTAGAATCAGATTAACTCTTAATCAAAAATAATAAATTTCATAATATTTGTAATATCATTAGAATATTGGTAAAAAATAAATATATTTCACTATCTTTAACATAAAGCTCAATAAGAAATAAAAATTACCACAGTTAACTAAAATTTTTTATTGCTAAAAAATTAGCAACAGATTTAAACTAAATTTTTTTTTTTTTTTTTTTTTTTTATGTTCTTTTTATTTATTCAAAATAACTATTACAATCAAATAAAAGAAATAAGAAATGCATGCAATAAAAATTACAACTTTGTTAAATATAAAAAAAGAAGAATGTGGAGACTGGCAGAAGATCTTTTGATCTTGTCATCAAGAACCGCTTACAACTGAAAATCATTTCGTATTTAAAAACAATTTCGTAATGTATATAAAATAAATAAACGAAGTCTAATAAAGTTTTTAAAATAAAAGTTAGAAGTAAAAATTAACGTTTTGCATGAATATATAAAATGCAAAATAAATAATATAAAATGTATAAATCAATAGATACACAAGCCAGTCAAAACAAAATTAACAAAACTAAATTTAAATATACAAGTATGTGATCAAACAAATATTTTAGATATAAGAATTCGTATAAACATTTAAATAAATCAAAGTAATTAAAAATATACAAGTATGTTTTCAGTAGAGAGAATAAAAATTTTTAATTTTCTTTTAAATGCAAAGAAGTTCCAGTCTTAAGAAAAATGTTTCAAAACTATATTGTTCCACAGAAACGCCCCTCGAAAAGAAATACAAGACTTGCCTAAATTTGTTTTATAAACAGGTTGTAGAATGAAATTATCATTTCATAAATTATAATAATTTTTTTCTTTTGAGGAATATAAATTATGAAAATAAACCGGAGCTGTACGATTTTTACATTTAAACATAAAACACAGTACATTAAATATATTTAGTTGAAATTTATTTAAAATATTCATTTCAATAAAGAGAGGCTTAGTATGTGCAAATAATAAATAAATTCTTAACGTTACAAATACCTTCTTTATGTAATTTCTTAACAATTGTGTATTCAATATTTTATAGTTTTAAATTAATAATAATTTTTCAAGCATTCTTGAACACAGTTTTCAATTTCATTTTCTTCATTTTGATATCATGCCACTAACCACAAGTGCGACGCGCAATTGACGGTTTCGTTTTGTCTGAAAATAGTCAGCTAACAAAATATAATGTATGATGCATAGATTATAGACATTTTTTTTTACTTTTGCTGCAAAATGGGTAAAAAAAAGCATATCAAAGTTGCTTAGATTTTTTGTAGAGACATAGTATTTAAACAAAAAGCAGCAAGAGTTAGTTTTTTTAAAAAGTGACTCACACGGTATGTAGAAACAGTTGTAAATCTTGCCAAAGTACAAAGTGTACCCAAGAAAAGAAGAAAGTACACCCAAAAGTCATTTATAACAGGGAAAAACGCACAATTTGTTGCTTGCTTAAATCTTATTCTTTTTCTTTCACTGCAGTGTCTCTCCTAACCTAAAAACTATTTGGCGCTTGTATTTAATTTTGAACTAAAATCGTATAGATAAGTCTAGGAATGACAGATTTTTTACAATAACCATGTTTTGCAGCATTTAGCAAACGTTAGAAAACACGGAGAACCAATAATAATTTTTCTGGGTATCTGCCGGATCCAATTAAATATTTTTGAAGGGTGGATAAACGTTAAGTGAGTGACTGCATCCAACATCTGTAGTCAAGTTGATCGCAAAATTGAAGCTAGTTTGAGTGAAGAAAAAATACCAGAATGGTGTAATTTATTTTATCATTATAGCTTTAGTCATATTTTTAACATATGTAAAAAAAGCGGTGTGAGCTTTATAACTAAACACACTTCTGCAGTGCTTTCAAAAGACTTTATTAACCAGAAAAATATATATATATTATTTTGTATTAATAGTTTTGAAATTTTTTAATAACGGTATAACTAATATTTAGGTTCGAATTCAAGCACAACCCGTTCATAGAAGTTACAAAGGCATTCTATACTGCTTTAAAAATCTTGTCCGTTCCGAAGGTGTACGTTTTATATTATTTATCCAAAGGTGTACGTTTTATATTATTTATCCGAAGGTGTAGGTTTTAAATTATTTACCCGAAGGTGTACGTTTTATTTGCTAACATATAACTCCTATATTCAAATAGTTTTTACAGTTTTATGCTGCTGTTTTTTATTATGGTTTAATTTATTTATTGTTTAGTTTTTTGGCTTGTACAAAGGTTTAACTCCACCATTGTTAGGATTGTCAGGACAAAATGCGTTTCTGTTCGGAGTTCATTACACGATTTTAAATAATTTAGGAAGTAGCTTTTCCAATGAATTTTTTTCAGGATGTATGACTGGAGCATTACAAACGTTTTTATCGTGTCCAATTGATTTTGTGAAGATTCAACTTCAGCTTCAGGCAATAGGAATTCAAAAAAAAAAAGTTCATAAAGAGATGCTCGGTCCTCTAGGTGTATTGTCTTGTATTTACAAGAAACATGGTATCACTGGTTGTTTTCGTGGGTTTACTATCACACTTATACGTGACTGTCCAGGTTATGGTGTGTACTTTGGTAGTAACTATTATTTTTGTGAATTGTTTAAACAAAACGACGGATCCTCAGCTTCTCCAATGTCTTTGCTCATTGCTGGAGGTTTAGCCGGAACAATTTCTTGGGCTGTTTGTTATCCTGTTGATGTTTTGAAAACTCTTATTCAAGCAGACGGTCACTTACCTCACAGTGAACGTAAAAGCATGATGTGTTATGCAAAAAACTTATACATTCAAGGTGGATTTTCCGCGTTCACACGAGGAATAAACACAACTTTGCTGAGAGCTTTTCCAGTTAACGCTGTTGTATTTTATACAGTATCACTTATTACTAAAAAACTCAACGCTAATGCAATCTCAGTCACATGACACGACATTTACAACTAAATTTTGTCATGGTATTTTTTATATATTCTTTAATAAAAAAGTCGTTAATGTATATTTATATAGGTAGGCTTTGAAAATTATATTTTTTAACCATAAAAAATATTTAAAAAAATTAATAATCTAAGTTATATAATATAGTCGAAAAAAATGATCAAATAATAATCATCAAGCGCGATGGTTTCATGATTGTTGAAGCATCGAAGCATTGAGAGTTTTTTTGCTTAGTCGTGCTTTTTGTATAGATAAATTTAAAAATGTCGTTTTTTTTTAGTGTTATTTTGAAAATTTTTTTTGTTGTCCAGAAGGTTTTATTTTACAATAACTTATTTTTTGTTTTTCAAAATTTTTTTTGTAAAATATAGACTGTTATAACAATTCTTTTTATGTTTTGACTTAAAAAATAAATGAATAAAAATGGTTTTGTAATCAAATAAAATTTTAGTGGGGAAAAGGGTCTTAATCAACAATATCTTGCATTTCAATTTTTAGAATTATAGGAGATGAGATTTGTTATTTTTTAAAAAAGTTTTTTAAATATTGAAATTAACAGAGAGTCATTTAGTTTTAATAACTTGCTCTTTACTTGAATATTGAAAGAAAAAAGCCAGCACCTAATTGATAATACTGAAAGAAAAAAGCCAGCACCTAATTGATAATAAACTTACACAAGTTGAGTTTATTTATCAACTTATAAAATGTTTTTGATCGTTATATTATGATTTTATTTATATGTAAAATGCTTATGATGTTAA